TTCATTGATTTTCTTTCTTGTTTTACTGGTCTATATTTTTATTATCATGAATCTATTATTGCCTTAAGTAGCTTGGAGTTGAGTTTGCTATTATCATTATTAATTATTATTAATTATTTCTTTAAGGTGTAAAATTAGGATATTGATTTGAAGTCTTTCTTTTCTTTTCTTTTTTTTTTAGATGTAGACATTTATAGCTATAAGCTTACCCTCTGATCATTGCTTTTGCCAAACTCATAAGTTCTGGGAGGTTGTATTCTTGTTTTTGTTCTTTTTTTAAAAATTAATGTTTACTTTTGGGAGAGAGAGAGACAGAACACGAGTGGGGAGGAGCATAGAGAGACGACGACATAGAATCCAAAGCAGGCTCCAGGCTCTGAGCTGTCCACACAGAGTCCGGCATGGGGCTTGAACTCATGAGCCGTGAGATCATAACCTGAACCAAAGTCGGATGGTTAACTTACTGAGCCCCCCAGGTGCCCCTTGTTTTTGTTCTTATCAAAGTGTTTTGTAATATCCCTCATTGTTTCTTCTTGGACTCACTGGTTGGTTAAGTGTGTGTTTTTGAACCTTCATGTATTTGGCAATTTTCTAGTTTTCCTTCTGATACTGATGTCTAGTTTCCCTTCATTTGATTGGAGAAGATATTTTATATTATTTTAAACTTTTAAAAATTATTGAAGCATATTCAACATTTTGATGTAGTAACAGGAATCATCAGAGTCTCCACTCTCCGCCTCCCCCCACCCCCACCCCCACCCCCAGGAATTATCTCGTTGTTTGCTGGGGGTTATAGTCTGTTGAGTATTATTCTGAACTGTTTTTGTAATGACTGCATTCTCTTTCATGTGTGATCTCTGATGTCTCTGTTCTTATAGCTTGGGTGTCAGCCTGCAGTTTGAGAGAGAATTTGTTTAATGTCATGATTGAGGACAACACCAGAGAAAATAGATGGGAGAAAGAAGATATTCTGGTATAATCATAGTGTCCCTCCAGAATCAAGGCTAGAGCAGGCATTGTGGGTTTCTCTGCATTACAGCGGCCATACCTAAAAAGTGGTGGTCTTTTTCTGGGAGGAAAGAGTCCAAAGAGATAAGAACTCCAAAGATGTCTCCCAGGATTAAATCCAGCACATGAGCACATGTCTGCACCGTGTTTTTCTCTTTTAGCTCCAGGGAACAAAATCTCTCAAGGTATAGAGAGACAAAAGAATACTTCATCAACAGGACTGTTGGGAATTCAGCTCCTAAAGCCACAGAAATTCTTAAATGCTTCCACTAGGCCCTCTAAAGTCAATTCTACTAATTTCGGATGATGAGGAAACACAGTTGTGTCTTCCAGAGACCTCATGAGTGGTTCCATCACCCTGCCCTTTCTGGGGGCAAATTTATTAATCTCAGTGGGATGGAACTTCATGAGTGAGCTCAGACATTTTTGTGATAATATCTGGGTGAACCACAGCATTTTCACAGGTACTGGGGAATATGATAATGATGCATAGGACTCTCTTTATTGGCAGTAACTTTATGTTATACAAAAGGATAACAAGTAAAGAAATGTTGTTAATACAAAATCCTGGCACGTTTAAGTCCCAGATTTTGGAAGTCAATAAGTGGGATGCACTAAAATATCTTTTTGCACCCATCAGTCTCCTCTGGTGTTGGCTATCCATCATGGGGCCTCCCTGTCTCAATGGTTTGTTCTGTTGTTTCACGGTTTCTTCCTTTTCCCTGTTAGTGGTATCTC